TTTTGAATCTCAAAATGTTGTGCGGATCTGTTGTTTCAAAAGCTAAAACTGTGTTTATGATTGTCGGACAATCTAACGAGAACTTTCTATTAGGTACTCATACCAGACTCATACATACGCAAAATAGAGATTTCACCTCGTGCGACTGAAGGTGGACTGATGTATTTCAAACAGTAAGATTTTTTTATGTTAAAACGGTGGCAAAGAAATATGTGACTCGCTTGATAATAAGCGGCCACCATAGCCTTTTAGCCGCTTGCGATACCAAAAACTTGCACTGTTGCCTACCCTGATCCAATCCCCTACCCCGTGGAGCCCTGAAAAAATACTCACCGACAGAAACACTACTATCCCACGTATAAAGAGTTGTTTTACATGATGAGATTTGATGATATTCTCCCGCCGTAGATTTACGAACCGATGGCGTAGCGTTTGACTTTCACAAGAGCTTGTAACAGCCTAGACTGAATAAATGAGATTGAGTTTTTTTTTAGTTTTTTGATATTTACATTATGCTTTATTATTTTATATTTAGTACTTTGTTTTTTTATTTGATTATAAAACAAAACATTGTATTGATGAGATTACTTCTTAACGAAGATTTCTCTGTGCAGACACTGTTACGAGTATTTTTTAATATAAAACATACCTAATTGTATGTTTAAAATAATTTAATGTTCTATTTATTTATTTAAAAAAAATGCTAAATAACATCTTACGAACTTAACATAATAAAAGAAATTAACTAATATTCCATTGTACATTCCAGACGTAGTTGTATGTGCTTTTTGTATACATAAACTGTATTTTGTGAATTCAAAAAAGTATTAAGCTGAACATAAAAAGAATATAATTACTAAACCATAACACCAGGTTTTACAGCAACTATGCATAACTTTTAACAACGTATTGTACGGTCGAAGCTATAAAACGATAAAAATGGAGGTAATAATATTTTCAATGGATGAACAACATTTCTTTGCCCCAATTACAGTAGGCGTATCGGTATAAATCGTGCTATAATAATTTATTTATTTACTAATGCGCTGATAATGGTAGATAAGATACTACAGTTTTCCTGCTAAAAGGCGAATTGTAACCAATGTTATCCAATCTAGTGGATTTTTTTATTATTATATATAGATTTCTAGTTATGACGATTTATTTTTGGCAAAGATAAAATCGACTTGTAGCTGAGGTATTGGATATTCATATAATATTTATTTCAGATAGTTATGATATTATTGAGACGACTTTTTCAGAAAGTTGTATTATATTTTGTATTATATTTAATTATGCACTATAAAAAAACAATAATTTGAGCGAAAAAAAGTGCTGAAATCTTTCCTAAACATAAACAGATCGACGCAGAAAAAAAAAGCTGATTACAATAATATAAATAACTAATTTTGAAGAAAAGTGGCGTATAAGCGAATTTGCTTTTGTACTGTCAATATCATAAGTATTTTTCGAATGAAATAAATGATAAACATATCTCACCCAAGTATCTGTTTCTATGCTATGTTTTTAGTTTTCACAGCAATTCTTAAATCAAATTACAAACATTTTCGCCAAGTTTAGACTTAAAATATGCAACTTTAAAACAGAGTTTGCCTCTTCAAATTGATCTCCAAAACCTTTTCACACTTTAATATTAGCTAAATTGTAATATTTAAATTCATGCTATTCTTCCTATGTTTGATTACAGTGAAATACTAATTGGCAATTTTACAGGTACTAATTTAAAGCAAAAAACATTGAAGAAGTGTGAATCGAAATCGCACACGAACGATTCTTTACCTAAAGCGATTGCTGGATCGTCAAAATACGTCGAAAAAAATTAAAGCCTTTAAATTTTAATTATAAGGATCTTAATCTTATTGTTATAGTGCCAACGGGTAATGTGAATCATGAGACCCACTGACAGATATCATTCAATCAATATTCAACAATTACTGAAAGACAGCGGAGGCGTAGTAATCGGTTTCCGTTGTCCTTTTTACATAAGGTACACTAAAAAGTGTTACAAAGTCATTTTGAAATCTATCAAGGCAACGATTGACAGTTAGAGACTGAGCTGTAGGTCGATTCCGTAAAATAAAATCTTACTTCTTTGGCCGTGTTGTTTCATCTATAGTTAAATTGTACTATAGTTAAAATACTAGAAAAAAAATAACATTATATCAAAATTTAACACATTTACTATTTATTTGACGTGACATTAACTATAATCAAATTTAACTATAGATGAAACAACACGGTCTAAAATTGGAGATATCAAACAATTTAGTTTGATATCTCCAATTTTAGACTTATGATACAATACAATAAATACACCATTACATAATGGCTGTTGAAGCAGCCAATAATTTGACAATAATTGGCAAAAATCCGAATATAAATTTGATCATAAGTGAGATTGTATCTTACAGAATCGACGTGCTAATGTTTTATAGCCAAAAAAAATATCTACTACAGACTTTTTAAATGCATATTCAGCTAAAAGCAGTGGTTAGGTTAGATTAAAACTTAAAAAAAAATACGTTTTGTATATTTTTAAAATTCCTAAAAAATATGCAAAACGTATTTTTGGGACCCATATTTTTATGAATATTTTTTGTATAACAAAATTCATAATAATCAACATGGGCTTAAGTATCTCTTCCAGTCACTCGACCACGAGGCCTACAACTAATTACAGCATATTTTTTAGTGAGTGACTATTCTAAGATAATTATAATGAATTACCTAAATCCGACAACACAATGACGTTATAACAACCGTAGAAGGAATCCGGACAAAATGAATTCTAAAAGTATAAGTACATAGGCATAATGTAATGTATTGTACTCGCACTTTGTCTCACAGTTATGTCAGGTGGCAAATTTAATAACGTGACTCAGCTGAGAGATGCTTCGGTTGTGCATTTTCGAATGAAAATAATATAACTTCTGGCTGATACACACTTTGATTTTTGGATAAAAACATCTGAGTCATCCACAATTCCTTGTTTGCTGTCAAATGTTATATTCTACTAGAGAGAAATACACTTTGCGCGGGTAAAATTTCACTCAGGAACAATTTGATTTTACAATTTCTTCTAAAACCATTCCAAATACTGATTTTTATGTTAATGTCATTCATCGAAACATGGAAATTTTAAAACTGTTTTTTGTTTTTGCTAATTCTAAATTCAGTTGAAAATGCTTTTCTCACAAATGCGTTCTTCATTGTCGTATGATTTGACGTATGAATTAAGGTGGGGAAACAACAGGTTCTATACACTATCTAACAGAATAGAATAGAGTCTAATATCGTACAGGAGTTGTCTTGAATGCGACCCGCAGTATATCGGATGTCTGCCTTTTGTGTGAATCTGGTACTTCATCACGTATAGACACGCATTTAACGTTTGCGACCTTATGAATATTACGTTGAAAGTTGTAATTTTAATCTTTACACCAAACGTACTAACGCTTATAAATTTTACAACCGTTAAGGTGATGCATGAGTACACAGCTTTTAGATTATTTTGAAAAAGTTTTAATTAGAGCGTGGTGTTTCGAATTCTGAAATCTACCTACAATAACAGTGTTTGTCGTAGTGTTTTGCTTGAAATATGTGTTTACTAGAGGTGCCCCGCGTTTTCACCCGCATTAACTTGAGGAAAAAATTTATAGTGGGTCACTCTTAAAAGATAGACATATGCTGTTGCAGACTTTTTTGTAAAAATCTTAAAGGGGAACAATTCCGTCATACATCATTTTTGTGTAACTTTTACAGTTTACGCAGCGTATGCAACCGAAAGTCATAAATGGAACATTTTTTCCCGTTCTTGCACCATTTTTCATTGGTGCTCTGCTCCTTTTGGTTGTAGCGTTATGTTAAATGTCTATGTCTAGCCTATCTATGGCCTTTCTCGATACATGTACTATCCAATTAAAAAAGAAAAATACCAATCAAACCAGTAGTTCCTGAGTATTGTATTATTGAGAGCCAACAATGGGCTCCAAAAATATACATTCAAAGTCAGGCTCAATTCTTAACATGTCTTTCTCAATTATTTAGAGTCGAATAAAGGTAGAATGAGGCTTGAATATGACAATCTGATTCAAGAACTTTGTTGCAAATGGGTTAGAACTGTAATTTTTAACATACATTGACGGGAATAGTTTTATTTTATAACGCGATTTGAGTTTCGCCAAGCTACGAACGCATCGTCACAAAGTGTTACTCGGCGCATTGCGATTATTACAGCTATTTGGATGTCACAGAGGGTGCAGGGACACGCTGCCTCCCCTTCCACCCGACCCCAGCATGAATTGAAAATGGGGTTGTGATTCATTTCCCACGAGTCCCAGTCATACGATACAAAAAGCCTCAAACTTTATTACGATAAGGGACTTACTATATAATTTTTTAAACATCACAGACTGAATGGATTTGCGCTATTTTCATTAAATTAAAACATCAAACCAACAAGTTCCCTGCAATTTGTGTTTCCGTTGTTTATATTGTCATATAAATGGATGTTGATGTATCATGTCTGCATGACCTTTCATAATACTATTTTACCATATTATAAACAATGTTAGTGGGCTTTATTTTTGAAGATAAATTAATCATCATGTTCATGTCTTTAAAAGTAGTCATAGAACAAAAACTTGGTTCAAAATATCCGTTGAACTGGTAACGTTATCATCTCAAACGAGTATTGTTATGGTTCCATGGTTTAGTTTGTGATTATTGTGTGCACCACACATAAGCGGCCCGACTTCCTTGTTTGATGTAATTTCGCGATACAGCCTGTATGTACAAACGCACCTAGCCGCGGCTGTAGGTATGCTGCCAGTAGCAATGAGGTGCGATAACGCGGCCGGCGTGCGATACGGCCGCCTTTCAGAGTCGACGCGAGCCGCCTGCGCATTGTAATTTACTTACTACAACGCCAAGGCTTCAGACGCGGTTACTAATCGTTAATAATGAAAAGGTTCTCTTACGAAGCCATATCCCCTGCTTTTGCTGGTCTGCCTGTCGGTGATGACGACCGCCTCCTCGATGTCGCCAAACACGGCGAAGTGCTCCCTCAAGCTCTTGTCGGTGGTGTGGTAAGGGAGGCCGCCCACGAAGAGTTTGGTCCAGGTGGTGTCCTTCTGGCCAGGCAGCGCGCTGAGAGCCAACAGCCCCTCGGGCTCGGCCGGCAGAGCGCCCGCCATCAACATTCCTTGCACCGTCTCCGTCTCGCCGATTGTCACTCGTAACACTGTGAGCCCGGTGCACCGGTGCGTAGGTAATGCGCTTGTAAACACTGGTGCGGGGTCGGAGCGAGCGTTAGTCGTGGTGGTTGCGCGCGGACTGAGGCGGCACGGTACGGCGCGACGGCAGGCGGCAGGCAGCGCACGTGGCGGGCCGATACTAATTTTAGTCCCCTCCGCGCCCCTCTCGTCACCAGATGCGACGGGCGGCCACATGCGTGGCGTGCCCTACTGCTACCCTCCACTCATGTCGGCCTAATGATATACCTCGTTATCACTGTTGATCCTCGCCAGCGAAGCCTACAATAACCGAGTGCTTATTGGGATGGGACAATCATAAATGTGGCTCTTATTAATTGATATCTTCTTATTTATATGTCTCATAGACTTAAGTACTTAACGCAATTAGCGTGAGATAAACTTAAACTGAATCGATGACTGTAACTTTGTTGTTGAAAATTTAACTTTGTTTTTCTTCGATGTTCAATTTCTTTCTTTTATGTAAGTAGATAAAAGAAAAATTGAGGGCAAATTTATTCGCATATATTTGTTTTATAATATGTGCTAAATATAAACATATTAGTTTTCGGTACTCCTCCTCCATTTAGACTTTGTTTATTCAAAATGTTTTACTTCTCCTTCTTTAAAATGTGCAATTAAAATGAGATTCCAAAGTTTTTGAACGCCAACTTTATGTGCTTAAGCAAATAGATAAAAAAAAGTAAATACAACAAAAAGCTCGAGCCGATCGGCTTAGCTTTTTGTTTCTTATTTCTTAGGTGTTTGATAGAAAGAAAGTCGTCATGAGGTGATTTAAAGCAATATATTAATAAATTGGCGTATTGTTATATGTTTAATGAGTGTAATTAATTAAGAAATGATTTCATAACTTATTTCAGAATGAGAATATCTGTCTTTTCGGTTAGTTATTACTAAACTTATAGCGAACTTTTCGTACTGTCATAGCCCAAAGATCCTTGCGATACCAGACTCCTAAACCTGATATCATTCCCTGCCCCGTGGAGCCTCAAAAACCTTACTAAACGACAGAAACAGATCACTACCAAAAGGAGTAAATAAAATATTAAAGGTACTATGGTCGTCTTTATAGTGGCTATTACTTCCCAGACGTGCGCTAAAATTCACGCTGTAAATCTGATGTGTACTATAAATACTATGTGTGTATATATATATATATATATATATATGTGTGTGTGTTTGACTAGCTTACAAGAGTGAAAACAAGTATTTACTGTTTGGCGCTTTTTACTATCATGTTATTGGCATTTACATAATTATCTCAAAAAACAAACTAAACAAGCCTAACTTTTTAAGAGATTAAATATGCACTTTGAGAAGTTATTTTAGAATTTTATGTGTCTAAAGAATTCATTCGTTGTCTCTCTGGTTTTTCCACGCTCATTATTGTGATGAAAGTAAATTATCCCTCCCTATTATCCCTTATTATCACGCACACCACTAAAAAAATAAAACCCTTTTTAACGGGTTTCAAAAAACGCATCTGATACCCATTGATAAAAGTATTGTATTCAAAGTTTTCTCTGTTTATCAGCTGATATATTGTATTGAATTTCTAACGACAGATACAAAAATCGTAATTCACAGTTGTTGTTCTGTTTAAAGCCTAAAGTCCTCAAGACTAGCAAAGCTTTCACAGAAATCAAAAGTGCAAGACAATGTAATGACAATTTGTACTTGTCTTTAGGGCTGGTGAATTTTTTTTAGAACAGGATAAAGCCATGCTAAAAGGAAGAGAACACAAAAAAGAGAAAAATAAATAAAGGGCGATTTGAGTTTGGGAAGGGAAGGGGGGTGCTCTTAAGGGGGGAAACGGTTTATCACGATTTTCGGGAAATTATAAGAGTTGTAGTTTTTCCGTAAATCGCAATAACTACAATGCAACTTTCCCAATGGTCGGTCATTGGATGAGTCACCAAAAACTTATTTATCTTCATTTAGGCTCCTTCGTGTATCGGAAGGCACATTAAGCCGTTGGACCTAGCTGCATTTGCAGTCTTTATAGCACATACTGGCTCAATCTCCTTATTCCATCTATAGGGAAAGCCTGTATCCCAGCGCAGACAGTAATAAGCTGATGATGATTATGAAGCATCTATCTTACCTACTTCTTCTATCTACTTAATATCAGGCGAATCATGTACATGTTTGCCACCCTTTTAAGTTTAAACTTAAAAAAAACTATATGCTTGGTTCTAGTTTATCTTTCACTCTTTCTACGCCTAAAAGAAACCTAAAATATTGTTCTACACGAACTATTCGATTTTGAAGACTGCCAACCACCATCTTAATCTTTAAGCGAGAAACCAAATCTAATAATTTGCGTGATTTAACATAAGAAGGAGATAGAAAGCCTCTCTGAGTTTGTTTCGCCGGTTCTTCTCAGAAAGGTCTCCCAATTTTGGAACCGGTGGTAGTTTACGGTAGTTTGGGTCAAAAAAATAAATAAACTCAAATTTATATAAAAGAATTAAATAAAGTACTTCATTAGTGAAATTAACTAATAAATTCATGCATAGACAATAAAGTTTTAAAAATCTTCCAATGAAATATCCGACGACTCATTCCTGCAAAGGCTGCGAAACGTCAATAAATAAATAAAATCAGTGCATCTAACCCGTTGAAACTTGTTTTATTTAATGAGTGATGTGCGTGAAAATCTAAAAAACAAATAAACCAAATAAAAATTGAGGAGCTGGCTAATAAATGGGTATAATTACATAATATTAAAATTTTATTAAAACAGTATTTTGACCAGTTACGTAACTATACCCTTTTATTCGCCAGCTCCTCAATTAATATACCAAACCATCAACTGCCATTTAAAATTAAAAAGTGCATTGTCATATAAACGTCTCCAAATCTCAAACAATCAATTATGGTAGTACAAACGCAGTCACGTTGTAAGTAAACTGTGTGTTACCCGTACGATAGTAGTAGGTGTCGAATGTCGCAGGAAGCCGGAGTGCGCGGACGCACGGTGGGAAACGCATTGTTCTGTCAGGCAGGAGTGTGTGGAACCGATAGCTTCCTCCTCCGGTCGCACTGATAATCTACTCTATTTCAATGCAATTTGTATTGAAAGGAAGAAATAATCTTGACAGAAGGTAAATAGTCTTGCTATATCTCTTGTACAATAGGTAGAGGACAAAGATTTAAACCGTGTATATTACATAAGTCTCAACTTTCTTTCTTTCCTTTCTTTATCTTTACATCGGCATCTGACAACCCTGTTCGTATCAATGTATGTTCTATAATCAAAACATTTATTCGAGATTTTTGTAGAAAACCACAAAAAAATATAAATTAATTGGAAAAATTTCGCAGAAAACGCAACGTTCTGAGAAAATTTTCCATAGTTTTCTTGGCGACCTCCGTGGCCGAGTGGTTAGTACGCCGGGTTTCATGGCGTCGCCGACTCGAGCGGTCCCGGGTTCGAACCCCGGTGAGGGCAGATGTTTGTGTGACGAACACGAGCATTTGTACTCTAGTCATGGATGTTTAATATGTATTTCTATATAAATATACTTATATATGTAAAGTATATGTATTCTGTCCGTTACCCTAGTATCCCATAACACAAGCCTTATAGTGCTTACTTTGGGGCTAGGCTAATTGGTGTGAGTGTTGGAAATATTTATTTATATTTCTTTATATATCATCAGAAAGTATACGTTTTTAAGAACGAAAAGCACACTTACTTTTTTATGTTTACATTAGAAAGTTAATACAATCTTACCTATAATGAAGTTGGTGGTAAATATCAATAAAAGTATGTTTTTCTTTAAGCATTTAGTTGCTAGATATTTAAATCTAAAGAAATGTTTTTAGGCAGACAGCATAATTGGTCAGTGCATTCGCCCGGATTGCGAAGTGTGCGGGTTCGAGTCCCGTCCGCTGCCTGGTCCGCGTAGATTTTTTTTTTTCTAGTAAAAACAATTCTTTTGATCAATAAAGTTATTGAAAAAGAATAATAGCAGGTACTCTTATTATATTTTCTGTCAATTTTTATCTAAGTATTGTTAATAGTATTTTTGAATTCATGTTCGTAAGTATTATTAGTATGGTAAACATAAAATTTCTGATTAAAGTTCAATATTAATAATATATTTACAAAAAACAGTGTAACACTGAAAATGGTTTTGCATAACACTTTCATTGATACATTGAAGTTTGTTGCATTGAAGACTGAAGATAAAATAAGTCAGTACCTGTCAAAAATTTTAAGGTAAACAGCTGCTCTCGCGTATCCTCGTAATGGGTGCCCCCGCGCCGCTCAGAAAGATCAGCTGTTGGACAAGAGAATTGTATATAACAGAATCATGTCTCGAATAGGGTGACCGTAATATATTTTGACCTTAAGAATAGAGAACAATTCCAAGTGCGGACTAATTTATTTTACAATATGAATAAACATAAAAACAAAGAGCTGACGCCTTTAGATTTTTTGCTCTGAAAAAATTGGTGATATGATCTAGGTATATGTTATTTAATTTTTGGAACGTATTTACTTTTCAGACGGTACGCACTTGGCGGATGGAGTGAAAAAAAGATGAGTAGTAAGTACGATTTTTCCATCACGGCAACGTTGACAGATTGGGGTATCAGTACCCCTAGCACGAGCCAATATCGAATCCGTAACGTTTGCGAGTCCGAAATGTCATTGTCAAATGTGTACTGATTTTTAATTCTCGTTACGTACTTTGTGGCGCTGCTGTTCAAGTTTCCATACAAAATTTGACATTGACATTTCGGTTTACAAACTATTCGAATTCGATAATGATTCGTGCTAGGGGTACTGTACGCCAATTTGTTTTGAAGATTTTCGTCTTAGCGAGATTTGGTTTTTTATAGTAATTTCCCTTCCACTTATGGTAGTCTTCGATGGTAGTTTTTTCCAACTATGGGTTTTTACGGGGTATTTCCTATGGTAGTTTTGCTTAGTAGTTTTCAGTCTTCCATGCTAACTTTTCTATGTTAGTTTTAACATATCCATGGTATGTTTTTGTAGCAGTTTCCTCCACCTATGGTAGTTTTCTATATCAGTTTCGTATATCAACTTCGTTCCATCCAACCGAGTGTTCCACGCCAGTCACGTTTTTTCCTGATATTTATTAAATATTTTTATGTTATTTTATGAAAAGCTGTACGTATATAAAAATAATTTTGTGTCGCTCAAAACAACAACGCCACGTTATTTTAAGTACTTACTCGTATTCA